CACTGTGGAGGGTTAGCTGGACCGGGGATGTGACCTGGGGAGGTGATGCATTCTGGCTGCATCAGTACAGTGATGTCACTGAGCAGAGTATTCTCATGGAGCAAAGAAAGAGCCCTGCCCCGTCCATGCACTGGTGTAACTCACCAGAGGTTTCTGTGTAAAGAACAGTAGCCTTGTATACCGTAACTGTAATAGCATCAGTGGACAGAGGAGGTGAACAGGACAAAGACAATCAGCAACCACCCGCGAGTACCATGAAGTACCTGGGCAGGAATGTGAACATGGCAAATAGAAAGAGCCCCACACGCTCGGTGCAGTGGGACAACTGAACTACAAGAGTGAACGGGGAAAGAATGATCTCTGATCTGTCGGTGCACAGATGGAACACACGAGGGACGTGAGAAGGGCAGAGAGGAGAAGAGGAGGTCCTCGCTTCCTCTGTGAGGATGTGAACAGACCACACAGGAGCATCTTCACACCCTTAGTACCGAGGTGGAAGTTGACAGGCTCTGTGAACAGAGCAAACCACCAGTTCACTGATGAGATGGGGCAGGGCTATGCGAACGGGGTCAGGAGGAGGAGCCCCGCAAACCTAGCACACTGGTTCCACTGCAGGGGCTGTAAGTGGGAGAAAGCCAGCGTGTGCAGAGCAGTGTCTAGTGGTTCCTGGGCTGGTGATGTGAACAGGGTGGAGGAAAGCATGGCCAGTGCCACGGAGTGAGTGCCCAGTTGATCCCATTAAGCAAAGAGCAATCCTCATGGCATCGTCACCTTGGAGTGCTCAGACGGGGTGTAGGAAAGGGGGAAGTGTGCCACACTTCAGTGTAACTGGCTGGGGTGTGAACAGGTAAGAGGAGAACCCGGCACACAGGGACGGGAAAGTGGCCAGGATAAGCATCCCACATCCTCTACGCAACTGTGTGAATGAATGACAAGGAGTGTGAAGAGAGCAAAGGGCAGGAGCCCGCCCCACCCCCCAACTCAGGCCCTGGGCTTGGTCAGAGGGGAGACCAGGGCAGGACGGGCACATTCAGACTGATCGTGATGGCAGGTCCAGTCCTGGTGTTACCAGGGCACAGAGGATGGGAGGACCAATTCTGGGGTAGAACCCGCACAACCGCTGCCCTTAAGTACCACCCTGAGGTGTGAATGAGGCTTACGAGAGGAGGCGGACCACCAGGGCTTTGTGTAACTTGGGAGGGGAGGCGACAGTGCAAAGAGGACCCGGAGGCATCAGTGCCGGGGTCTCACATGACAGGGAACACTTATGGGGTAATAGGAGCCCCTCAACGTCAGTACCGCGGGAAGACATGGCTGGATATGGAAGCAAGCAGCCAGGAGGAGTCCCGCCCGTCTGTGCATGTGGAGGAGTCACTGCGAGGCACCTACCCACCCGCTCTGACTGGCCACTCTGGCCGGCCGGGTCCTGCCCTTGGACCCCGGGACCCCTGGGGGGAAGCCAGGATATGATGCCGATGCAGGCTGGGCAATCCCCTCCCGAGTAAGTAAGGGCTGCAGTGCTTCTCTGTGGTTCCCCCCAGGAATTACAGGTTCGCCTTCCAGACAGTGAGATTTACAGTCACACTGTCAGAAAGCGTTTCATCTGCAGGTGATCTGCTTCCCAGGGCATGAGGTGTACTGACCTATACCACTGAGATAGTTCATGAAAACCATTCTCCTGCCACCCTGCTCAGAACCTGTCATGAATCTCATAACATATAGCACTGAACACTCTGAAAGCTGAACTCTTAAATTTTCAAACCTAGGAACTGTACAAGATACATACCCTGACACAAACAAGCACCACGGTTACATTCTGGAATACTAGGTAACTAACGTGGGAACCAAGTCGATGACCCACAGCCAGTCCAGCCAAAGTGACAAAGCCCCATCCTGGACTTTCTGGCAGCCTTGACAAACTGCACTTCAGCAGAAAAGAGACTGGATCACCAGATAACCCCGGCCACCGCTGGCACCTTACTGACATTTCTGCAGCCGTGGCCAGGAACTCAATGGGCTGTGGACATGGATTATCCCCTCACCCCGGAAGCGATCCTTGGGGGCAGAGCTGCAGGAAGTTAGCTGAATGGTACGAGGAAAGTACCCCATTCCTGGCTGCTGCTCCGTCTGCTCTGGGGCTGGAGGGGCTGCCTTGAGGTCAAGCTTGTGGACCTGACACTGGGGAGAAGCACCACGTTCGCCATGGAGCCCGCTCTTTGGCCAGCTGTGCTGAGAGTACACGGCTGTGCTACATTCAATGTGCCAAAGTTAAATTGGAAAGGATAAGCCAGATCAATTGCGGTGACCCGAAATGCTAAACTAATTTTAAAGGTATTTCCGGGGCGGGGGAAGTTCAGTGAGTAAAGGAGAATAAGTTTGGGGGATGGAGTGGGTTAACCCTAAGGAGTGTGGCCAGGGCCCCCGGAACAGTTGTGCAGTTCGTGGGCTTGACAGAGCGCTCGGGCATGGGGGTGGGGTGGGACACTGGCATCTACCCTCCATTCTCCTCTCCTCCTGCCTGGTTCAACACCCCCTCTCCCCCCTGCCTCTGCCTGAGTGGACTCTGCTTTCTGCGTCCTCTTCTCACAAGGGGAAGCGCTGTTGATGAGTGAGGTGGGAGCTTTTCCTGTTCATTCTTCTACAGACAGGACCTTTTCACTCCAGGAACTGCCTCTGTCTACTTCATCACCCGGAGGGGACTCTTTTGCTTCTTAACATCTCTTCCTGCTGGGAGCCCTCCCCACTTAAGGGGCTGCTCCCCTAGCCTGAGAGCAGAGAGTACTTGCTGGGAATACACGCAGACGTGTTACACGTGGGGCTGGTGAGCAGCAGTGTGTGGCACCAAGGGGATTTCTGATGCACGCCGACTGGTGTGCACTGTCCTGGGTCACATGGTCAATAAGCTGAGACGGTTCGGTTCTGGGTGACCCAGGTGTTCTGCCCTCTGCTGTCCCGGCCACCCTCACCCCTGCCCCAGGATCCAGTGAAAGTCCAGTTAATGCCTCACATGGCTGGGGCCCTAACCACTTCACCAGATATACTGACAGGACAGTGCTCATGCCATACTTATTGTTGAATATTTCTAGTCACGTTCCTCAGGAGCCCCCTTCAACTTCTGAGACCCCTGAGCCCCCATCCCTGTCTCCTGGGGTCCTCTGTGAGCTGGCTGACACTAGTTGAGCCCAGTCTTGGAATCCGCGGCTGTGTGAATGTTAACAGTTCCTCTGTCTCGGAGCCCGTGAGCCACAGCCTCCCTGGGAGGTGAGCACAGGAGTGTCCAGGAGAGGCGCAGCCAGTCTTCTTAACAAACCTGCTGAAGCAATGAGCCCCTCCCTGGAGGACTGTGCTTCTGCCAGGAGCTCAGAAGAATGGCAAGCCCCTCGCTGGAGGTCAAGACCCTCAGGGTTGTCCTGAGCAGACACTGTCACTCTTTTCAAAAGGTCAACCCAGGTCGACCTGCTGATTGTCACTGCCCTGCTGAGTCTCCTGAGGAATTCCTGGGCTACCTGAGGACCGGATTCCTGCTCTTCACTCCTGACCCCGGGGCAGTTTCTGGATGGTGCTCTGGTCTGAATATCCACCCCCCCATCCATACCTTGAAAACCTAGTGCCCCAGGCAACAGTGGGAGGTGGGGCCTTTAGGAGGTGATCAGGTCATGAGGACACAGCCCTCATGGGTAGGATCAGTGTCCTATAAAAGAGGCCCAGGGAGACCCCTCGCACCACATGAGGACATAGTGAACAGGCACCATCTAGAAAGTGGATGCCCTCACCAAACACCAAATCTGTCAGTGCCATGATCCTGGACTTCCCAACCTCCAAAACCGTGAGGAATAAATGTCTGTTGCTTATAAGCCACCCAGTCCCTGACGTTGTTACAGCAGCCCAAATAGTACAGGACAGATGGGTTTTACGGTTTTGTGATAATTTGCTAAAACTGGATGCATTAAGAATCTGGTGTGTTGTGACCACCCTAGCCACTGGCTTCTGAGAACCCCCTCCCGTGTTGCAATGTGATTCCTTATAAGTCGTACGTGATTTGATCTCCTAAGTACACAATGTTATTTTCCACAAGATTGGCTCCAGGAGCTGAAAGCAGATGCCCACCATGACTTTAGTAGCCAAGGACCATCTGCAGTAGAAAGATAGGGCAGAGACCTCCACCTCTGGCCAGAGATGCTTAGGCACTGAAACAGAGGCCAACCTGGCCCTTCAAGCTGTCTGCTCCGGCTGTCCTCCCCAGCTCCTCCCAACTTGACTGCCTCTCAGTGCGGCTGCAGGGATCCATGCGCACCCCAACCCTCTGAAACAGCGGCCTCTCAACTCCCGGCTTCTGCCCATGCCTGCCTCCGTGGGCTCTGTGACTTCACCAGCCCCTGAGGACTTTCCACAGTAGCAGAGCCCACTCTGCTTGGTCAGGCATCCGGAGAGCTGGAGGGGTCTGTCCTGGGCCGCAGCCCTCAGCCGTTCCTGGGCAGAGAGACCTCCAAGGTGCCCGTGTCACACTGGCTCCCTGGGGTCCCAGCGGGACAGAGCTCCATAGCTTTGCAGTCCATCCTGGCGTGGGTGCTCACATTCAATCCAAAACTGCAGGAGGTACGGTCCTTCTTTAGTATGCACAGCCACCCTGGTGACCCTGACACCCTGAAGGGCCATACTCAACAACCCCACAAAACTAGGAGCATTGGCTCTAAAGGTCTTCCCAGGGCAGAAGGCTGGTCACCCTCAGGGACTTCTTCAAACAACTGCTCTCTGCAGCCCACTGATGTTTGTGTACAAACCCATCATGATCAGACAGAGTTCTCTCTCATCAGTGCTTTTCATTTCCACTCTTCAGGCCTGACAGACTTGAGGAACTTAAACAAAAGCCAGACCAGGAAACACTACTTAGAAGTTGACCTTCACCTGTGTATACTTTACCTCATGACTTCCCTTTCATCCTTTAAGTAAGTTGAGTTGCTTTTTCCCCCCAACACTCATCCTATTATGTCTAATTACAGGTACGGTCAATTCACACTACAGAACCACTTCCAGAAGACTTTGGATTTCATAAGAGGAATCATCAGTGTGGACCTTTGGGAAACTTCTAATTTCCCAGGTAAGTTCCATTCATTTATAAATCGATAGTACAAACATGTGTGAAGTATTTAGTATATACCAGGCACTGTTCGAGGTATCGTGTGTGATTCACAGACACAATCCCTTTGCGGAGTTTATACTCAGGGTAAGAGTTAGACCTTAATAAATAACTCTACTTCCATCACAGTGCGCATCACAAATTAGAGAAATAAAGTTAAAATCTCAACATGATGAAAGATCCTTGATGTTTTACTACAAACCACAGTCAGCCTTTTCAAATGTTTGTTTTTAGCATATATTTGGTGGGGAGGGACTATTGAACCGAAGTATTTTTTTAAATTATTTTTCAAAAACAAAATAAGTTGATATTTGAATTGCTAACATTTGCAGTACTTTTGAACCATACCTACAGTAATTATTCAGATTTACTTATATTTAGTTGATTTCCACATTCACCTTCAGGAATTCTACTGTGTACTTCTATTTCAAAGGTTTTATTTTGATTAATTTTTTGAATGTTGATGAATCCTTTCAGAGAGGGTGGAATCTTCAGAGTATATATATAATTAAACTGATTTCTGTGGCTTTCACTTAAGACTTGATATGGAATTATTGAGTCAAACACAACTTTTCCCCTTTACGATATTATGTTCTGTTCTTTTATCTCCTGTTACCCTGACATTCAGGAGAAGCCTGATTTTGTGCCTTTGAGGAAAATACTCTCTTTTCTTCCCTGAAAGTCCATGGCATTCTTAATCTTTGAAATTCAAAATGCCAACCATTCATTTTCAGATATTGAACAAGTTTTGTTAATTTTGTTTTGATCCTGACAAGACCTTTTCATCTGAAGATTAATGCTTTTCTTCAGCTTCTGAAAACTTTATTGTCTTCTCTGAATATTGCTGTTATATTTGTTCAGGAATTTTCTTTCAAGTATGCCAATAATCCGTATGTTAGATCTCCATTCTCTGTATTTAACGTCTTTACGACTCTCATGCTCTACCGACTGAGGTAGCCGTGCGGCTTGTATGTAATATCTTTAATTCTCTACCTTTAACATCTCGCTTTTGTTTTCTGCTACTGCATAGCTTTTAGGATAAAAGTGTGTATTTATACTTTGAATAGTCACTTGTATGCTATAAAGATAGCCGTGGTGCATCACTGCTCAGTGAAATTTTTTGCCTTTGTTCAAGATTTCTTCCGTTGATAAATGACTTTCTCACAAGTATGACTCTTTCAAGTACAGTGAGTGCCCTGGTAAAAGTAGGAGTATCCAGAGCAGTTAAAGTGATGGGCAGCCATCTTTCCCTCCCTCCTCGTGTGCAATTCCAGAAAAACTTGGGCACCTCAGGAAAAGAGACATTGTTTCCCAGTTTTCTTACTTCGTACAACTATGACAGCGCCAACCAAATTTCTTTTGATGTGAAAGTAAGTTGCTTCCAGTGGAGATGGCTGATCATAAAGCTGCTGTGGAAACTGAATAAGTTACTGAAAGTAAAATGCTTGGGACAAAGCCTGATGCCTGATTAGCACTCTGCGTTCTCAGAAACCGGGTTCTCCATCCTGTCACAATGGGTAGACTTTGTGGGAAGCGCTTGATGACTGTGAAGCCTGGAATACCAGAGAACGCTTCATTCATGTCATGGCTTGGGCCTGCAGGATGATGGCCAGACCACCTGAGCGTCTTCCCCTCTAGGTCATTTTCTGACTGTGTGGTCCTGGGGAGGTTCGTTACCGTGTCTGGGCTCTGTATGAACTCAGAGGTTTCATACGCATGGGTCTGCTCCATAAACCTGAGTTCTCATCCTCAAGTTCCAATGGTTCCAAATCCCCGGCCATGAGAACTCACTCCCCTGTAGTCACTACCTTGACCCTGCCCGACAGATGAGCTGTGGTTCTCGGAGGCAGCACTTGAAAGAAGGCCCTTTTGAATTGTGGCCTCGTGGTCATGAACTGTGTGAGTCCTGTAGCGACCAGGTGTCAGGCTTACATTGAGGTGCCCGTGCAAGCACAGGAGTGGTGCAGTTCTCATCAGGTGCCAGCTTGTTACAGGCACTCGGGCCTGGCGGTGGCATAATAACTTAGGGGCCGTCTGGTCACTGCAGGGACATAGCAGCATTACACCCACCTCATCTAAGTTATTTCAGCCTCCTTTTTGTTTTTAAACTAATAGACTTTATTCTTTTGAACAGATTGAGATTTACAGATAAATTGAGCAGAAAGTAGAGTCCCATATACCCTCCTAACACAATCCTCAGTTTCCTTTAACATTGTGCATTGATGCGGTACATTGGTTAAAATTGATAAGCCAGTATTGATGCATTATTATTAGCTAAATCCATAGTTTACACCAGGGTTGTCTCTTTGTGTGTAAAATTCTCTGCATTTTGACAGATGTATAATGACATGTGTCTGCCATTATATTGTCTTAGAATGGGTTCATTACCCTAAAAATCCTCAACGCTCTGCCTTTATATCCCACCCCTGGCTGAACTTTTTTTTTTTCTTTTTTGCTATCTCCATAGTTCTTTGTTTTCTACAATGTCATTTAGTTGGAATAATGCATTACATAGCCTTTTCAGATTTTCACTATATGCAATAATGTATGTTTAAGCTTCCTCCATGTCTTTTCATGGCTTGATCACTCATTTCCTTGTATTGCTGAATAATACTCCATCCAAACTGTGGACACACCACTGTTTATTTATACATTTCATTTACTAAAGAACATCTTGATTACTTTGAATTGTACAGGCACTATGTGGTAGATAGACTCGATGACTAAGTTCTAGAGATCTATTGTACATCTTAGCAGTGTCTTTTGCAGGGTCCTCAAACCCTGGGGTGGTACTTATCAGGAGCTAGAGGAGGAGGCAAAAGGGAGTTGCTCAATGAGTATAGCGGTTCACTTTTAAAAGATAAAAAATTTCCAGACGTCTGTTCCACAACAGTATAAATAGATTTAACAGTATTGAATTGTACACTTAAAACAGGTTAAGATGGTTGACTTCATGGTATATTTTACCACAATAAAAGAAACTTGCCAGAATTGCATTGACTCTAAATCGAATTGGAAAGACCTAATATCTTAACAGTATCAAGTGTTCCTTCTCATGTACCTATGTTTTTCCATTTGCTTAGATCTTTGTTTTATTACAGATTTGTAGTTTTCCTCATACAGATCTTGTACATATTTTGTTAAATTTATACTTAAGCATTTATCTTTATTTCATGCTAAAATAAAAATCTTGCATCCTGAAACCTTATTATAATCACTTACTGCTTCCAGGAGTTTTTGTTGTTTTTGATTCTTTGGAATTTTTTACATAGAAAAGCATGTCATCTACAAATAGTCACAGTTACCTCTTCCCAAATCTGTACAATTTTATTGTGTTGGCACCCTGGTTCCCTGGGGTGCCATTGCCTTCTCCGATAACCACTATAAGCAGTAACAAGTCTTAGGGAGAAGGGAGAATCTTATCTTAAAAGTTACCACATTATAATATTCAACATGTCCAATTTTTAACAACAAAAAAATATATTCAGAGAACCAGGAGAGCACGGCTCATTCACAGTAAGAAAAGATATTAACAGAATTTTTTCTTTCTGAGAAAGCCCAGAGGTTGCAATTTTTAATAAGAATCTATTTTACATGGTGAATAGGTTTAAAGCACTAAAGAATATGATGGTAAAGGAAGTAAATGAGACTAGAATGACAGCGGTACTGGTGTGACAATGAGAATATCAATAGAAGGATAGAAATCATTAAAAGGAATCAAATGGAAATTTGAAGTTGAAAAGTGAAATAACCGAAATGAAAAATTGCCTAGAGGGTTCCAGCCATAGATTTGATGAAGCAAAGCAAAAATTAGCTGACTTAGAGGTAAGTTGATTGGAATTATTGAGTCTGATGAGCAGAAAGAAAAAAAAAAGAGTGAAGAAGGATGAATAGAGCCTAAGAGACCTGTAGGACACCAGCAAGCATACCAACAGAGGCTTAACTGGAGTCCCAGCAGAGAGGAGATACAGCAAGGGACAAAAATAATATTTGAAGAAATAATGGCAGAAAACTTCCTAATTTGATGAAAGGCAAAATTGAACAAATTCCAAATAGCATAAACTCAGAGAGATCCCCATTGAGACACATTATAGTCAAATTTTTGAAAACTAAAAAGATGACAAAGAGAATATTGAAGCAGCAGTAGAACAGGCAAAGAATGACTATTCTGATGAGAAACTGGCTGTTAATTTTATCAAGGATCCCTTTTAAGCGGTTTAAAATCAGTTAAAAACAATATAAGAAAATTCCCCCAAATAACTATGGTAGTCTCTTCTTATCCTTGTAGAGGCATTCCAAGACCACTGTGGATGCCTGAAAGCACAGATAGTACTAAACCCTATATTTTCTCTTACTCATACATAACTATGATAAAGTTTAATATATAAATTAGGCACAGTAAGAGATTTACAACAATAACTTAGAAAAAAACAGTTACAACAATATACTGTATGAAAAGTTATGTAAATATTGTTTTTCTCTTTCAGAATGTCTTATTGTGCTGTACTCAAGCTTCTTGTGATGATATGAGGTGATAAAATGCTTCCATGATGAGTCAAATTGAGGTGAATGATACAAGTATTGTGACACTGGGCTACCATGTACCCTTGACAGTATGTCATGAGGAGGATCATCTGCCTCAGGTGACCCTGGATCGTTGATGATTGCGGAATCCCAAGTGGGATGGAGTGGAATGGTGCGGGATTTCATCACACTACTCAGAAGAGAATGAAGTTTGAAACTTAGAAATTGTTTATTCCTGGAGTTTACCATATAATATTTTTAAACCATGGTCAGGGAAATGTCAGAATTGGAAACTAGGTTTGGGGGGTGTGGGCTAACTGTATATAACTTTCTAGAATGTTAGATCTTCAGTTCAGTTCAGTCGCTCAGTTGTGTCCGATTCTTTGTGACCCCTTGAACCGCAGCATGCCAGGCCTCCCTGTCCATCACCAACTCCCAGAGTCCACCCAAACCCATGTCCATTGTGTCGGTGATGCCATCCTGCCATCTCATTCTCTGTCATCCCCTTCTCCTCCTGCCCCCAATCTTTCCCAGCATCAGGGTCTTTTCAAATGAGTCAACTCTCGGCATCAGGTGGCCAAAGTATCGGAGTTTCAGCTTCAACATCAGTCCCTCCAATGAACACCCAGGACTGATCTTTCTTAATATCAAATGCAGGGCACTGAATGGGAAAAAATATCTTCAGGGATTTTAATCTGTTGCACCGGTCCTTTCTGAAGCGGTTCCCTTTGTTTATTTGGCTTCTGTTTGCCGTCTCTTTGGTGTCTAATTTCCGCCCTGACACAGGCGGGCGGAGGTGATCTCTTATTTAGGTTCTCTAGTTCAGTTCAGTCCTGCTACGGGGAGGGCGGGGCGCTGCAGACAGATACCGCTCTGTGTGGATAGCGCTTACCGTGTTCCGGTGACACTGGGTTTGCCCCGCTCACGGGTGTCAGTGCTTTCGCCGTCTACACTGCTCAGGCTCCCGGCTGCTCTATGTGGAGCGGGCCCTGCGTTGAGTGCGGTTCCAGTTTTCCTCCACAAAAGCGCGGATTCGGTTGCGCCTTTGTTTTGTGCCTTCCCCGGCCTGAGCGGTTCAGGCAGCCAGAGGCTTGGACGTACTCTCCCGGGTGCAGCACGCCTTTTCCCTCCGCGGCGAGTGGCTCAGGCAGCCAGAGGCTTGGGCGCAATCTCCCCGGTACGGCGTGCTTTTTCCCTCCGCGGCCCCAGCACGCACCGCCAGTCGGGTCTCAGGAAGTCTTTAGATAGGAACCGGAGTCTGTTTGCAGTGTGGGAGGGGGTGGCTTCTCAGGGGCTGAGTTTGCCCTTTTCCCCTCCCCCCTGCCTCCTACCTCCAGCGGGGATGGGCCGGCTCTTCTCTGGAGATTCTCAGTCCCTTTGTTTTGCGAACCGCCGGCAGTGTGTTCGGGCCAGTTAATTTTGACCCTTGCTATCCCACAGTTTAAAAAAGCTCCCTCCGATTGCTCTCAGGGTCTTCGGGCCGGTCCTTACCCTAAGCAATGCCGCCCGCCCCTCTCCGTTCCGCCCCGCTTGTTGCTGGCGGGTACGGGCGTCTGCTCCACCATTCTTATCACTATTTAAAAAACAAAGCCAAGTTCTAGATCCAAAATAGTCAATGAACCTGCTGGTAAACATTCTTCTCATGGTTAGAGCTATCACCCTACTTCTTTTGTTTTTTTAAATGGGACATTTGCACCTTTTCAAGAATGAGTAACAATTTTTTATTAATATCTCTGAGAACTGGACTTACTTTTAATTAAAAAACAAAACCACACACATCCTAATCAAACTCAGAGGAAATATACATTTGTTCATTAAAGCTCACCTGCTTTAGATAACCTTTTCTCGTCACACATTAGCATAGTACGCAAATGTTTGATCCATGCTGTATAAGTTTTACAAAATGACCTGTTAATTCCCGAGGGAAACCTTAAGGCAAAAACAAAAGCCTTTCCCTACAAAAAGGGAAACAAAGCAAGTCATGGGGCCTGTGGAGACTGCTCAGATGAGTAAGCACCACAAGGATGAAGAAAATTTTTGTACAAATGAATGCAAGTTTAAAAAGGCGCACTGAACTTCCATGTTTCCTGCAGAAATAATGATCGTGTCAGATAAAATGACTCCTGAAACAAGTTCTGCCTGGATTTTAATTAACAGAATCCTGCTAGTTCTCTCCCACATATAGCCATGGTATCAGAGCCTTGTTCAGAGAGCTCTTTCCTACTGTTCACTGTACAGACCTGGATCCCAGGCCTGTCCCAACACCCCTACAGAGGACAGTGTTAAGTGTGTGTGTCCTTCTTTGGAAAACTGTCGTCTCTTCTTCTCCCCAATACTGGGACTACAAATTCCAGGCAGTCACTTCCTCTTTATGAGCTGTAGCAGAACTAACTTTTTAGCTGGAGACTTCTTTAAGGCTACTAATGTTACAAGTTGGTCCCATTAAACAATGACCTAGAGGCAATTCTTGACATGGCTGAATCAAACACGTGCACATTTCAACAGAACACAGTTTACATTCATCTCTAAATCTGAGATTAAGAAACTAGTAGCTGGTTTCCAACTGGTTTCAATACTGGTTTGAAGTCTGAATAATTTTACTGTGTAGACATTAAATATTTTGTTTAAATATTAAACATTAAATCTTTTCCTGACTATCCAGACAGAAATAGAAAAAGCAGGAACTACAGGCAGGAGAAGCAACAGTCCAGTTAACAGACTTGTGATTTCTACCCATCTGTAACAAGGGGAGGGACTTCGGCATGGGTTTCAAAATTGCCTGGGAGCTGCCTCCTAAAGTCACCTCTACTTGGCATAAACCATTTTTTCTACACAAGGTATGTGATTCCTAGAAAAGAAAAGAAACCCAGGAAACAAAAAGAACTGGGGTGGTCTCCTGCTGTCTGATAAAAGGGCCAGTATTACACTCATTTAATAAGTTATAGTGGGTATTCTGTAGCACTAAAGGGATGGTCACTTTACTTTGTACTACTGAGTCCTTGCCACACAGAAGAGCTGTTCCTGAGAAAAAAAAATTCTTCAATCCTGATTACTCTCAGAGGACACCTTGAGCCTGGGTAGGGTCCCCGAGATGATGATTTCTGGCTGGCAGAAAGATATTCTCTAGTAACTCCTAGGCTTACTGCACAAAGAGTTGAAGTACCAGGCAAACTGGCTATTTCAGTAAATCTCAATGTCACTTGTATGTGCCCAGTTAATTATATCAGTCAACATTTCCTAAATTAACATTGAAAAAAAAAACCACACTTGCTTCTACAGGCACATTTCTTTAACTACTGAAATAATATGCTGGGCTGGGCTGATACGGCACTTCCTCAGGATTACTTAAGGATGCTTCTCCCAGAGCCAGTTCGCACATTGGTTACCTCTCAATCTTCTAAACTACCACTCAAAGTTAACGCGGCTGTAAACATCACTGAAGAGCTGGGTGTAGCAATTATGCAAGGGAAACCCAGGAGCAACAGTAGCACAGGGTAAAAAAAGCCTCAGAGGAAAAACCTTTTCTTTGTATTTTCCATTGCATCGTCAGAGGCAAGGAGGGGAGCCACAACACTCCTGGCTATTTAATCAATAGAGCTACACTGAACTGACAACAAATATACAAGTTTCAGATTCTCTGTTAAATTCCCCAGCAATAGGCCTAAGCTACTGTCATCTTCCTCTTCCCCAGTAATATCTAGTCACCATTATAAACAACTCATTTATCTGAAGATGAAGTTGTGGCTCAACCGTCAGGGCACACTTGTAGGAGGGAGAGCACTCTTTTTTTTTAATGCATCTTTTTCAAAACCAAGTGTCTGAATATTCTCTCAAGTATCTGAATGACTGAGACAATGTGACAGATGACTTAAAAGTCACATACAGCTTCTATACTTGACTCTGCAGAATGTACTCTCACATTCCTTTAATAAGTCCCCTAGAAAACTACTTTTCCCTTGAGACAGGTTTCCTTGGCAAGAAGTTGAATTTCAAGAAATGGCTACCCAAAATCAGAGTCCCACCCCAAATCACAGGTGGAGATATTACACCCATTTCAAAACTTTCAAGTCCCTATACTGTACAAGCAGGCTTATGACTGAACACATAAGTCTCTGCAACATGACAACTTTAGTATAGAAACTGGTTTCTAGAGTTCCATCTCCTCTTCTGTGCAAGCAGCTGTCTCCAAACTGTTGTAAACAGGCAACCCTGTTGGCTGAGGTTCCAAGAACAGTTCAGTTCTCTGAGGAAAGGCAGTGCCAGCAGCTGTGTGCCTAGTTTGGCTCTCTCCTGTGTAGTTCTTAGCATTAGAGTATGGCTTTGGCTTATCAGAAAGGAGTTCAGGGAGAGATTTCCAGAGCACAAGCTCCATGGAAGGACGGCTCATGGACTCAATCATTTTCTTTGTAAAAATTTCATCAAATTCCCTCTTCAAACCTGTTTTCATGGTATCAGAAAGGACAAGGCTGGGGAGACGATTAATATTTCTGTCAGCTTCAACTTCTTCATCTTCGTCAATTACTATGTCCTCAATTTCCTTAAGCCTCCTTCGGGCAACTTCACACTGTGGTTCCCCCGTTGTCTGATCCATCTCTTCACAAATAATATCTAACGTGCCAGGTGCAGAAAGGCCACTAGTGCGCGGATTTACTCCATGACCCTCTATATCCTGATGTGCACAAAGAATCCAGTCATTAGGACCAGCACAGAGCCCTGCTTCAGTTAGCCTTTTCTTTCTTACTGGACAATCATCATCCTCCTCCTCTAGCTTGTGTTTCTTTCTACAGTGAGTTGAAATATGTCCGCGCGCCGCGCTCCCGCCGGAGCTGCTCGGGGCGGCGCGAAGTCCCTGCCGCGGGACCAGCTCGGCGCCCTCCGTCCCCGGCGGGAAGGCCCGACCGGCGAAGGCCGGCGGCGGCTGCAGGAAATCCGAGCCACCGCTCAGGGGAAGGCCGCTAAATGGCCGGGGAGACGAGGAGACTGCGCCCGCGGCCCCGGCCGTCCGCGCCCCCGGGCCCGGCAGCAGCGGCCACAGCGACTGCCGAGAGGTAGCCGCCTCTGAGCCCGCTTCCCGACCCCACGTCACGCCTTCTCGAACATATGTCTTTATATTTCAAATGGGTTTCCTGTAGCCCAAATATAGTTGCATCTTGTTTCTTCTTTTGCTCTGACATCTGTCTTTTAATTGATACATTTAGACGTGGATATTCAAAGAGGTTGATTTAATTGCACTCTTATCACCTACTTATTTGCTACTGTTGCCTATTTTTGCCTTCTACTCTTTTTTTCTGCCCTTTGTGGTTTTAATGGAGCATTTTATGTGATTCCAGTTTCTCCCCTTTGTTAGCATATCAGCTTTACTTTTACTTTTTTTTTTTTTTTTTTAACCAGCCCAGGTTGGGTACATGAGACA